CTGGCTTGATTGGCTAAAAGCAGTTATACAACGTAACTTGGGAAGTCTGTAACATCATGTACACAACAAYACATGCACTAGTTTCCAAGTATGTTTGACACAAGAGATTAAAAATGTTACACTCCTTTGCTCTCAACACATGCATTTTTTTTTTTTCTGTCAAAGCCTAGCCGAGTGTTTTCCCAGAGCAAACCCTTTMCTCCTTGGTGCTGTATCATCCTGCTCAGTTTCCTTCCAGAGATTTCTGTGCTTCTCAGACCCTTGTGCACRTCAGTAATGGAAATGGTACCTCTGAAGCTGAGTCCCAGACTCTTGGATTCAGTGGGTGGCAAATACAAAGTCAATATAAATTCAACCTGCTTGGATCTATGCTGGACACAAAAACCAGCCTTTCCTCCCATGCRTTCAGCTGATTGTCTTCTGCCTAGTTCATCTTCCCACCATCACCACGAAACAGTCAATCTCTCATCTCGGAAATACTTTCTTGCAGTTTTTTGTTCACCCTATTAATACAAAATTAAAACTTCTCTTGCAGTGTAGGGTTGTGCTGTGTACCTGCCAGGCTCTCACCATCTCCTTCCTCCAAAATTGTTATTTCATATGGGCAAATGCAGGACTGTGCTTTTGAGAGGATCTCCTCAACCTTTTCCAAACATCTCTTAACTAAGTGCTGCTTTTCCACAGTTCCATCTCTGATTTGATTCTCTACCCTGTTCTCATCCTTATTGTTTTCCTCTATATTTTATTTTATTCTCTGTAAGTTTTTATATTGCTTGTATTTTCTTTTTCATTAGAGTTTTTTAGGAGAATGGAATAGCATGTGCGGTCACRGCCATTGGTAACACACTACTTTCCTAGCTGGAGGGAAAGCCATGTGCAGTGTGGTCATATACATTGCCTGGATATGCTTGTGTTTTTAGTGTACTTGCTAATATGTGTCTACACTGGAAACAGTACATATTTAAGGAAGTAAAAATGAAAAGGTGTGCTTTGTACAAGGAAAGGCTTGTAGCTGTATGATGTTTCTGCAGAAAATGTGTTTCTACTTCTTCAGGCTCTAAGAAACTCTGAATCTTRCATAAGTGATGTTACATAAAGCTCTGGGGTTCCTGAGTTACTGCATTCAGATTTCTTCTTAGATCTTCTGGCAGCCTTTCAGATTTCCTGGACAAGCTTTTGAGCATTTGTTAGGTTAAGAAACTGGCTCACAGTGGGAGCAAATTCCTCAGTTCACATGCTAAGCATCCACCAACTCTGTATTCAAATTATTTTCCACAGTATTTTACTTATTCCTTTGCTGATTGACCATTGTTGCTGCTTCCACCCTCTGTGGTATAGTGTTCCAGATGCTTAGGGAATGTTGTGGCACAGCTGATATAAAGACTTGTATTGTGTGAAGTTGGGGAAATTAGCATGTCTTGCTAGACAGTTGCCACTGAGAGGTAAATAAGATAGAACCAACTTAAAACATCCAGTAAATGGGAAAATGACCAGACCATTCTTGACTGAAAATTGTTTCCAGAAGGACATTACTTATATTTTCTGAACTCTTAAGGAATAAGGTATGTCTGAAACAAAACCATAGCACTAATTGGCATTATGCTCATCTGCTTGGTAAAATACATAGCCAGACACAAATGCAGACCTTATCTGGATAGGGAGAGGGAGGGAAGAGAAGGAATTGCATGTGAGAAGGTCATAGTGCTGCAGATACATCCATGCTGCATTACWTCATGCTAATGCAGAGCTATACCCCCTTTACTGCCCCAGCTTTTGCAAATCTATATCTTTTTAGGCACAGGACCTCTATGAGATTGAAGTAYAGGTAGCACTGAGCATGGTAAGAATCATATGAATTCAGAACTCAAAAAACGCACACAAGCACACAGCTGCTAGACACTGAGATTTTAATGCACTGAACTTTGGTAGGCTGTGGCTGCTTTCTGCAAAACAGGACCATGCAAGTTCCTGGTCCCACCCATCTAATGGAAATCGGATGAAACTTTTCCTCCCTGTGTTGAAACACCAGCATGGAGAAACCTTTGCAGGACTGGCGAGGGTGGAGCCTYGGGGCTGCAGGCAGGCGCACTCCGCACGGCAAGGAGGCAGAGCCACCAAATTCCTTTACAATTCGCTGTTCTTGCTTCCCGCACAAACATAAAACCAATCCGGATTAATACCCCCTCCGACTGCYCTCATTCTTTCTTCTACAAGAACGTAGAAGATATGTATGACAAACATCAAGCATAACTTTAACTTTAAAAAAATTGCATATGCACAAAAGCCATGAATTGCTGTGAATTAAAGGAAAACAAGCTGAAAAAATGCTTTCCAAAGGAACCATAAGCTAATGCCTTAGCTTAGCCTTAGCCACTGTCACACATATTTTTATTTTACATATGTTGTCAGATTGCTTCCTTAAAACCTGGTTCCTTTGGTTGGACTACATCTATAATGTACCACTTATGACTGTATATAAAATTCAGTGAAGAGAGTTGCCTGATTAGATTCTTGTGATCAAGAATGTGGCATTACATTGCTCTGAGTACTGTTTTCTAAATATTAATAAAAATGCAATCGAGCATTGAAAGATGTAGATCTAATTTTCAGAGAGCACTTAGGGTGACTTGATACCARCAAATCCACGGGCCCCGATGAGATGCACCCCAGAGTGCTGCTTGAGCTGGCAGATGTTATAGCTAAGCCACTTGCCATCATCTTTGAAAGGTCCTGAAGAACACGGGAAGTGCTGGAGGATTGGAAGAAAGCCAATGTTACGCGAGTCTTCAATAAGTGCAAGAAGGAGGACCCAGGCAACTACAGGCCAGTCAGTCTCACCTCCATCCCCAGAAAAGTGATGGAACAGCTCATCCTGGCTCCTGTCTCTAAGTGCATGGAGGACAAGAAGGTGCTCAGGAGTAGCCAGCATGGATTCACCAAGGGGAAATCATGCTTGACTAACCTGGTAGCCTTCTATGATGGTATGACTAGCTGGATAAATGAGGGCAGAGCGGTGGATGTCATCTACCTGGACTTGAGCAAGGCTTTTGACACTGTCCCTCACAGCATCCTCCTGGGCAAGCTCCAGAAGTGTGGAATAGATGAGTGGATGGTGAGGTGGATTGAGAACTGGCTGCATGGCAGAGCTCAGAGCCTTGTGATCAGTGGCACTGAGTCCAGTTGGAGGCCTGTAGTTAACAGTGTCCCCCAGGGATCAGTCCTCAGTCCAGTCCTGTTCAATTTATTCATCAGCAACCTGGATGAAGGGATGGAGTGCTCCCTCAGCAAGTTTGCTGATGATACCAAAMTGGGAGGAATAGCTGATACCCCAGAGAGCTGCACTGCCATCCAGAGGGACCTGGACAGACTGGACAACTGGACAGTGAGAAACCTCATGAAGTTCAACAAGGGAAAGTGCAAGGTCCTGCRCTTGGGGAAGAATAAACCAAGACACCAGTAGAGGCTGGGGACCGACCTTCTGGAGAGCAGCTCTGTCGAGAGGCACCTGGGCATCATGGTTAATGAGAAGCTGACCATGACGCAGCAGTGTGCCCTCGTGGAAAGAAGGCCAATGGGATCCTGGGGTGCATTAAGAAGAGCGTCTCCAGCAGGTCRAGGGAGGTGATCGTCCCCCTATACAGAGCCCTGGTGAGGCCACATCTGGAGTCCTGTGTGCAGTTCTGGGCTCTCCAGTACAAGAGAGACATGGAGCTGCTGGAGAGAGTCCATCACAGGGCTACAAAGATAATCAGGGGCCTGGAACATCTGCCCTATGAGGAAAGGCTGAGAGAGCTGGGCCTGTTCAGCCTGGAGAAGAGAAGGCTGAGGAGGGGACCTGACCAGTGTSTATAAATACCTCAAGGGAGGGAGTGAGGAGGAGGGGGCTGGCCTCTTTTCACTGGTGACCAGCTGATAGAACTAGAGGAAACAGCCACAGACTGAAGCACCAAAAGTTCCATAGAAACTTAAGGGAAAATTTCTTAACAGTGAGGGTGCYASAGCCCTGGAACAGGCTGCCCAGAGAGGATGTGGAGTCTCCTTCTTTGGAGATCTTCCAAACCTGCTCGGACACAACCCTGTGCCACATGCTCTAGGTGACCCTATATGCAGGGGGAGTGGACTAGATGACCTCTGGAGATCCCTTCCAAACTTAAGGATTCTATAATTCTAATTGCCCATATAAGATTGCTTGAAATACTTCATAAAAACATGTTCCTAATAGGATATATTTGTTCTGTGATCTTTTATTTAGAATCAGTTCTTGRAATGTTATATTTACCCTCAGTGTCTGTACCTTATGTGCATTCCAGATCTAGGAAAAGGGGGAATTTGATGCTTCCACAAAGATGACGATTTTCACAGTATAGGAGATGATAGAATCTTGATTCTCTAAGGCAAAAAAGAGCATTTAAGTATTCTTGCTGTGATGTAGCAAGGTCTTTGCCAGTTGCAAAGCATCTTAAGGGCAAAAATATGAGTTTGCACTGCTACATTAGTCGAGAAAGGTTGAACAAGGATGGCTGTTGAGTGGAGCAGATGCTCTAGTGGCAGCGGACACAGATGAGGCTCAGGGACTTCTTACCTTCTTTGCCTTAGCCTTTGCCAGCAAACGCTCCCTTTCCTTTATGCTTGGGATGAGGGTCCAAAGAGAACTATCGAGCACTGAGTCAGGAATTACTTGACCAGATCACCTTATGATACCAGACAGACTCCATCCAAGGTGCTGAGAAACCTGGCTAATGATCATGCAAAGCTACTGCCTATTTGGAAAGATTATGCAGATGAGGGCAGGTTCCTAGTGAAGGGAARCAGGAAAATGTTACAGCTTTCTACTTATATGTAGACTTGTCAAGCTAACTTTGTTCCCATGAGACCATTTGAGACATGCTTCTGGACACATGAAGGAGAAGATGCTGATTGTAAATAATCACATGAATTTACCAAGAGTACATGATACCTGACCAGGCTGATTGCTTTCTGCGATAAAATGACTAAATTTGAAGATGAAGAGACAGCAGTGGGTGTCATATGGCTTGACTTTAGCAAGGTTTTTGACATTGTTTCCCACAGCATTCTTATATCCAAATTAGGGCATGATGGTCTGAATAGGTGGATAACCAGGTGGGTAGTTCCTCACCAATGCTTGGTCTCAGAGGACAGTGTTAATGGGTGATACTCTGCCTGGAGGTCAGTAACAGGTGGAAGACACTGGGACTTTCCTATTTAACATCTTTATCAGTTATCTGGAGGAGATGATCAAGTGCATTTTCATCAGGTTGTCAGATGACTGCACATTGTGGGGAAGCATCAGTATATACTTCTGGCAGGGCTGCCATTCAGAGGTACCTACGCAGACTGTAGAAATGAGCTGACAGGAACCTCATAAAACTCAGCAAGACCAAATACTGAGTCCTGCAACTGGGAAGACAGAAACCCTTGCAACAATACAGGCTGAGGATGGACCGGCTGAACCAAAACAGCTCTGGGGAGTCCAGCAAACTGTCTGTGAGTCAGGAGTGTGCCCTGACAGCAAAGGAGGCTAATAGCATCTTGGACTACATTAGCAGAGCACAGCCAAGTGATTGAGGGAGGGAATGGATTATCACAGTAGGAGACTGTCTTAGATTTTTGTGATTGATCATGGTAATATTGGGATTTGGTAAAATGGCTTTGGTGCCCAACTCCAGCAGGCCATAAATCCTGAATAGCCAAACATCATTCCCTGTGCTCCTGGCTCCATCCACTTCGTGTAGAGATCTTAGGTGCTTTACTCACCACATCGTATCGAGTAGCAGTGAGACCTGTGTTGTATCTCAGATTCTTAATCGTAACAAGCACTTTTCTTCTGCAAAACACAGCTAGAAGCTTTGAGTGAGTGCTGATCCCAGCTTGGGCCTGCATTACCTGGTGCAGAGCTGTGTGGACTTACCTGCCAGGCTTCCTGTGCGATATAGCCTCTTTTATTTGGCTTGGCCTGTGGGCTAGGCCTATCGGCAGATTTTATTGACTGTTGAGTCAGTGCTGCAGGATGGAGTTTCGCGAGCGCCTGATCTGACTTATKCCTCACCAGCTTGAATATCTGTGCTGCTGTCGCCATGGCACGCTACATGAATGCATACTGAGTGAAAAGATTGCATTTTTTTCTTTTCCCTTCTAATTTAGGCAGGATTAAGATGTTGTCTTAGTGCTGGTCTTAGGAGAGGAAAAGGATGGAGGAAGCAGACAGTTCCAGCCTCTCTATCACGGAAACCCAGTACAAGTTCTTCACTCGTTCCCCTTATCTGCACAGCCAGTCTAAAACAGTGAATCCTTCCTGAACATGGGGCTTGCTCTTGGGAGACTTTAACTCCCTATCTGCAAAAATTGCAGCTGTACTTTGTTCAGTGCTTTGACCAGTTTCAAGTCAGACAGGTGTTATCTGATTTTGTGAGTGAAGGAAAGGACCTTGCCTGGTCAAATCCCAGGCAGGGCCTGGGAAAATATTGGGACTTCTTATGCAGGAAAATATTGGGACTTCCTATGCAGATTAAAGATAACTAGACCACATCAGTAATTAATCTACCAATGGATTTACTGTTTCTAGCATTAGTAAAGTCATATTCACCTCTGCATACTCTAAATTTGCCCAACAATCCTAAATTGAAAAAAAAAATTACTTTTGGCTGGATGCCAATAATACATGCAGACTTGAACTGTCTTCAGGCTCACTGTCAGCTAGCTCAGTGGTAGTTATTCATCCTTAACCCAATGAAGTGAAAGTTGAACTCAGCCTTATCCTTTTTAGTCTGCTTTTCTTACAGGGGATGAAGGTTATTGGGGTTGCTGTATGTACAGAAAGTGCCAGGCACTTTCTGTGGCACTTTTATTTTCTCTTCTTGAGGAATTCACAAACAAAGTAGATGGTAACTTGGCACTCTGAATCATTCCACTCTCCTGTGCTRAGCATTTCCACACAGTCCTCACGACCAGTTGGGTCGTTCGGTTCCCCTTCCTTCCAATTGCTGTAGTTCTGCAGTGCAGTGTTGTCTGCATACACAAATTGTCCTTCCTTTTCCATGTCATTCATCCCAATGAATGCTCGGAAGAGGCCGCTCTTGGAGATGTAGTCAGCAATCAGGGCATTAGTTGCTTCATCTTTAGGCATTGCTAGTGTTCCTCCTCTATCCTTGCAGTGGATCAAGGCTTCTCTGTAATTCTTCTCTTCTTTGACAATGTAATAGAATTTCTCATCTGTCTCTCTGATGCCTGCTATAACTTTAGAGAGAGAGAGAAAAAAGCTCAATTACATTTCAAAATATATTGAAGATGCTTCTGTTCCAGTCTGACAATGAGGTGATTTTCACACTGGAATTAATCAAAGGGAGAGAGGAAAGAAGTGTTTCTGCGTCTGGACATGCGATGAGCATTGAAGAATAGATTAGAGACTGGCTAATGCGTGTGATGAGCATCTTACACAAGTTAGGACAAGAGCTCTTCAGTCCTGATTGGAAAGCATCTCCTGAGACACTTTAGTAGTAGACATCACTGAAGGAAAATGATCCCATCAGAGCATGCTAAATGGACAATTAGCAGGGTTTAATTCTCAACCATCTCAGTTGCTTTACTTTTTATTGAACACAGATTTAAAAGAGTGCTCTGCGATGGAAATACAGGATTATTGAATAGCTTTCAAGTCCTCTCCATATAGAGCTAAGTGAATGTTTTTCRATATGATTGCTAAAATGAGAGATGAGAGCCATATGGTCAGAGCTGCTGTAGCTACTAACTATGCATTGACTACAAAAGGRGCTGTGGAGGCACAGCAGCTTTAAAAGCCAAACTTCTCATGTGATATTTATCCTAGTGAATTAAACATTGGCAAGGAGGACTCCTGGGTGCTGGAAGTTGATTGTCTCTGCCTCTAGGTTGCTGCAGGGGTCCCAGGCACAGATTTGACCTGGGGTAACTAATGCTTTGCAAAACAATTCAGGACCTATGCCTGGCATAGGTTAGGAGCTGGCACAGGCCACAGATCATTCCTGATGGCCGCAGGCCGTTMAGTTTTGTAGACTGAATATAGATAAATGTTGCTCAATGACAGTTGTTCACAGTTCCAGAGAATGGTCCTAGACAGACTTAATTTACTGATACAGATCTAGTCCTAGAAGTGTTGCCTTTTTAAAKGGCAGTGCAATGTGCAGCCTTTTCAGAAAGCTGTGTTGCACCACAACATTCCCTTCCTTCCTTTTGGAAGGCGCAGTTTCCACTGTCCAGCTGACAGTACTACCTACAAACAAAACTCCTTATAACCCACGTCTTTGAGGTGTTGTTATCTCCCATACTACAGGAAGAATTGTACTTTAGTGAGGGGAACTCCAGGGCTGCAAAACACGCAGCCTCTTGTACAATAAAGAGGTCAAGAGATTCTTATCACCTTTCCTGGCACTATGAGCAGCTTCGCACAAACTCTTTCCTTTTGTTGGCTGAGAGGTCACTGAACCTGAAGGTGAGCAGTGCCGAGGTGTTTAGCAATCTGTGCCGGCTGCTTTTCATGATTCACTCTAGTGTACTATTGATCACTTCTGTACTGTTTTTGCTTCTATTCATCTGCTGCATGTGTCCTTGCAGAGGCAAGACTCTCTGTGGTATGTTTTGAGAGTTACTCGTATGATTTGGTCTTTTTCCTGGTACTGCTCTAAAATAGCAATGGTAGAAGAATAACAATGAGAATGTGGTAAGAGCATATAAAGCATGCCAAGACATGATGATGCTTACCATTCTTTACAAACTTGATAGATGTGTTAAGCCGAGCGACGTTGACGTTCAGTTGTCCAACAACTCTGCGGTACCTTCCACAATCACAGACTGTGCCTGACGCAATACAGAGGGCAGAGAAGTCATTTCTTTAGAAGCCTAGTGTGTGTGGTGGGTCAGCTGTAATCCTCTTTCAAGCCTTCTGAAGACTTTGTCTCGACTTGTGGAGAACTAGTGGAGAACTATCATACTTTTTACATTTGGTTAGATCTGCCTCTATACCCTCCGTTGTTAACATGCTTTATCATCCCTAAGCTTGAAAATGCTTATGGAGGGGTCATAGTTTGTGATCTTTCATCCACTTGTATGGATCGTGGAGTATCCACCACGATCTGAATGCCAAAGCTATTCCTGCATAGCCATAAACACTACTGAATCCTCAGCCTTCTGAAATAAACAGCAGTATCCGTGAAATGAGGAACTGTGTTTTGTTCAGTAAGAGCAGATGTGTGAGAGTGCCTAGAGGTTCCTTTTCTTCCTCAGGAGGACCATGTTAGTGAAGCATGCAGCTGGCAGCAGAGATAATTTACACCAGCTCAAATAATCAATMGCTTTCAAGGGCTGAAGGCCCTTACATTTTTGTTGGAAAACTGAAATTTGACTTTTTTGTATAGATTTTGTTTGAACCTGTTCTCAGGCAGAGTGGAAGCTGCTAGTGGTTTCTGATTCAGAACCTAAGTGATGTTGCCTTTAAAATGTGTAAAACTGATTACAGATATACATTGAAGGTGGGAAAACATTTAAAGTTTTAAAGTTTGTGTTCTACCTACAAAGACATATCCTTTAGTCACCACTGTCCTAYTGGATTTTATTAAAGGATTTTTTCCTTTAGTATTCAGAAACTTTCTTCTGGTTTCCAATATAAATGTATTCCTGCTGTATTCATACATGTTATACTTTTTCTTATGTTATCAGTCACTGTCCATTAATTTCCATTCCTCTTGTCCATCTTGACCTGTATGTTGTATTCATAGCCATCGTTCATGTCCCTATCCTGCATTAATTTTGCTAACCAGATTTTCTAGTTTCCTTCTGTTTGTTTCATCTGTTCTGGAGTTTACTAATTTGTTGGCCCCAGAATTTTGYGGAAATCAAATTCAAACAGTCAATCCTGAAGAGAAAGAATCATCAGACCCAAACACTCTCAAGAGAAAGAGGCATAATATACCTGCTTTCCCCTTTTTTCCAGACACTCCTGATAAGCCCTTGGCTCCTTTGTCACCTGCATAAAAAAGAAAAGAGATTCTCAGATAGTACASGTGAGGACAACATATTTGAAACACCTGTTTAATAATACACTGATGGTCTGCTTCTGGTAGAAAACCTTGATGTATTAGCAGGTGTGCCAAGTCAAACAACCCATGATTAATTCTGGTGAATGGAAATAAGGAGAACACTTTAATAGCTAACTCACTGATAACGCAAGCATCTTGTGTGCTGCTGGTTCCTGGTACCACTTACTTTAAATATAAACTACACAGTGATCTTGGGAAGCTGAAAGCACTCAAGAAACCCATGGGAGGGGAAACTGGGTTCTCTCATTTCCTTGCAGGACAGAGCCTTTTTGTGGATTCAATAGCTCCGTTTCAAGATTAAGCACAAGATGGGGCTGATCTGTACTGAGACACTGAATTGATGTGTACAACATGGCAACAATTTGCGCCTGCATAAAATAGTATCAGTAAGGGCTAGCATTTCATTTCAGATAAAATTCATGAAAATATGGTTCATTTTCATCCGACTTCTTTTCCCCTTGTTCTGTGTATCATCAAAATTAAAGAAGGACTTCTTCAAATGCTATGCTAATATGTAAAGGCAGGTGACTAACTTTTTAAAAAAACACCATCTGTAATTTAGGTCAGGAATCTCCCTGTCTTTTTCTGAAATTAATGCCATCTCTGCTGTTATGAATTAAAACCTCCATAGACTAAATAATGTTCATACTTCCTCTCTTTGTTGATGATCATATTTTGACATGTCTTGTCCTTTAAATGATTTTATTTTTAAGACAAAACCAGGAATTGACTGGCTTTTTATTTAGCATTGTTTGATACCTTGCACATTTACAAGCTGAAATTTCAGAGTTGCTTCATTAAGAACTTGAATAGCAGCAAATCAAAGTAGTGACTGAGTGTCCTTTTCTTCTCGCAGTAAAAAAAAAAGAAGAAAAAATAAGGAAAAATATTCCAAATAAAAGAGGTGATAAAGTGTACAGTCAGCTTAACAGAGATTAGTTTATTTAAAGGCTGAGGCTTTGGTTTACTTAAAGATAGAGATAAGCAACTTGTGGCATTCTTCAATTCTAGGCTGCTTTGGTGACCAAAGAAATCTTAGGAGATAACTATCTGTGTCTTCAGTTGTCTAGGTACTTTTGAAAATTATTTCCTCAGGCCAAATTCTTTTGTTTGCCTTTGATCCTGAGGCTGTTAGAGGCCATGAGAGGTTTACTCGAATATGTTGGCTTGAGAAGCTCCCAGGAGAGGTTGTTTCACCTGCCTCCTGTATTTCTGGGTTAGAGACCACAGAGTTCCCCTTAGGCTGGTGGAATCCTGCTGTTCCAAGGCAGCTCTCCTGGCAGGAGGAGTGTTTCTTCTTATGTCACTGTTTTGGAACACCGTAGGGGAAACTCCATGCGTCTTCTCAGGCTACTAGGGCAAGAATTTCATGGCGTTGTTACCCAGGTAAAGGTGGAGTCTGCCTTGATTTGCAAGGAATATTTGCCCTGATTAAATAGGTGTTCTCTTAAAAGCATATCTCTTTTGGGAGTCCTGAGTGTTAGTCATTTCTTCGGCACCAGTGCAGGTGATGAAGTGCAGCATGCCAAGCAGCAACAAAATATTGATTTATTGGCCTGTAGCGTGCAGAGACACCAATTTACCTTTCTGTTTTACAGCTCTCAGAGGATTTATGCTCCTTACTTCATAAGGGCCTATTTTATCCCTTTCCCTTTTACCATATACAAGGATTGAATTATTAAGTCGTATAACATATGATTTTAGCCAAATAAGTCTCATATTATGTCATGTAGGAAGTAAATAATACACATTTTGGTTAGCTCTGGTGACTAGTTTTTATATGTAAGTTTATTTGGAGAGCACTGATCACAGCCGTTATTTGATATTTTTCCCCACTGGGAACTCTCAGAAAACACATACTTAATTCAAGGGGAAAAAAAAAAGAACATCCCAAAAGAGGACTTACCTTTTCCGCCAATTGGGCCGATTTTCCCAATCATTCCCTGATCACCAATATCCCCCACAGTTCCTTTGTTTCCTGCGAGAAGTACAGGGGAAAAGTACAGAAGTACAGGAAAGAAGTACAGGAGAAATGGTTTCCATTATTTCTCTCCCAAGACAATACCTAGTTCTCTATTGTTGGTATTTTTCCTGAGTTTGTCAGTCCAAACACATTGACACAAATATGTGAGCGTACAACGTATGAGGTATTGGTATTAGGAGTAAGTCAATCTCATAGGTAGCTGCTACCAAAAATAATGCTCCCATTTCTTTCCTATTCCTATAGCTTTATATTTATTCCTCCTCCTTTGTAGTGGAGCTTGTTGGACCTTAGAGCGAGCCAGTTCAGAAGTAAACTCACAAAGAGTAAACTACTCTTTTTTTTTTTTTGTAAAATTAGCCGTTTTCTGGGGTAGCCACCTGAGCTGGATCAATGTGGGATCTCCATGAAAACCCATGATGTCACAATTTCATGTTGTCATATTTTTACAGGCAATACGAAATAAAACTACTAGTGAGTATTCAGATATTACTTTAGCTTCACAACCAAGCTAGCCTTCACTCTCTCTCTCTATTTTTTTTTTCTTTCATTCTGTGTACTAAGGATAAAAAAATCTTGTTCTTTTTTCTTGAGGTTAAGTCCTCATGGCTTTCTGGGAGTCCTTCTCAAAGCAACATAAGGATGTACTGGCTTCGCTCTGTGTGCTTTCCCAGTCCTGAGAGCACCAAAATAATGGATGCTTTTTAATTGATTGGTGGCTTGAATTCTCAAGTAGCTGGCAAATTATGAGTCCCAGTTTAGGGCGTTTCAATTTGCACACCAACAMTGAATGTCATGAAGATGCTTTGTAAATGGTTTATTATTGGTTCTTCTTTTATCTTACTGACTTTCTCTTTAAGATAGGAGGTAAAGTCACAGAAGTGTATATAGAAAGGAAAATGTTTTAACAATAGGAAGAGGATGGTTTTGAAGATTCTATTCAAGTAAAAACTTCCTGGATTACTCTTAAAACATTAGACCACTGTCGAGGAAGAGAGAACACAGATATGCTTTAACATTAGGCCCTAATGATATATGAAACTCTTGAGTTACAGCATGCAAACCAGGTTGACATGCTAATGTCTGCTGCATCAGAATGCTCATCTCAGCTCTTTATGTAGATGTGGGACAGGTTTAATAGCAGCAAGACCTGATAAATCATAGATGCTTTGTTCCCAGATCAGGTGCTTTTTGATCAGAGGAAGCTCCCTTCTCAGTGTGTTCCTGAGCTTGCTGATCTGCCAAACAGGGACAACTGAGATTGGAATTTGTTGAGCATCTTGATGGATTGCTAAGAAGTAACTCTCAAAATTCAGTTTCACCTGAAGTATCATTTCATTTATGGAAAAGTAATCTTTCTGGTTATACATGTGATCTGGGTGGCTGCTCAGTCTCCTCCTGGATCTCAAATGAGTTTGCCACTTGGCAGAGCAATAGTAAATGGCTTATTACATGACTGTTTAAATTTATTGCCAACTCTAGCTGCCTTCCAAACCGGAAAGAATTGCATTAAATTCTCAGGAGCATTGTCAGGTTCACTGATTAATGTTTGACAAGCATTATGAAATTCACTGGTGCAAACAGGAATGAAAAGCATTAAACATCACAGTTTTTATGCACTGCAACAGTTGTACATAGTGTTATASTGTTATTCTCACACCACTAGTAGTCAACAAACTATTATAAATACCTTTTGGTCCTCTTGGTCCAACTTTTCCTTGCCTTCCTACTTCTCCTCTATCTCCTTTTTCACCTTCATCTCCTTTAAAAAAAAAAAGATTGTACATTTCACTCAGTAAATGCAACTATACATTCTCAGAAAGGAAAATTCTTTTTTTTTTTTCCATTGATTTCTTTTTATTGTACATTGAAGGTGCAGTGGCCATGGAATATATTTCTAGAGAAGAGCTGGTGAATCTGAGCATCGTTAGGAAAAGCTGCAAACCTTCCATGTCAGAAAAGCTGTTCCAACATAGAGATTATACAACTCAAAGTTCTATATTCTGTTATATTAGCTGTATAGCAGATAAATAAGCAAATTCTTCTCTAGACAGGAAAGCGAACTCACAAGGGAGAAATACCATGGAATGCAATAGGAATTTAATAACTGCTCATAATCACTCTATGTTCAAGGTATGCAGAAGCTACAGTGATGGGAGGAATATAAACATGTGGCAATAGATCATAAGATAGATGTTTATACTTAGTATGGCAGAAATCTTGTCAGTCTTTGGCAGGTAACATTTATATGTTAATGTATTTATATGTTAATATAATAAACATGTTTTATAGTTATGTTGGTGCTTTATTTTGAAAATTGTAGGTACAGAATATCTGCAAGAGGTAAGTTCCTTGGATTTATTACAGTAGTTCAGAAATYCCCACAAATGAGATCAAGGTCCTATTACATAGGTTATTGTATATAACTATGAAAAGAGAGTGTCTCTTACTGAACACCTTGCAGGCTAAAGGATCAAGACTGCAAATGGTAATTGGAAATAAATGTTATCCTCTTTCTTAGATAGCATGTAATTTTGCTTGAGGTTATACAAGAAATCTGATGCATAACTGGAGCTGGTTTTCTTATTTTCTGATTCTTAGTCTTGAGGCAAATCTCAGGAACAACTTTCCTCTTGTTTTTTTTTTTTTTTTGACAAATATCAGGGTTGAGGGGAAAATGCTGCACCAAACACSCCTCGTGAGTATAGGCAGCTGCCAAAAGCCGTGCTCTGTATTCCCTACCAATCTCTGCAGAAGGACTTGCAGCTTGAGGAGAAGCAGTGCCACCATCCCAGTGCAGGATGCATATGTAAGTGGCAGCTGGTTGTATCTAATACTTTCCTCCTATAATATCCTATGGTAAAGGATTTAGCAATTTACCTATCTGCTGGGGCGGGGGGAAGTTGCTTTCCTTGGTTACTTTCAGACTGATGGTTTCATTGAGTGTCTTACCAGTACCTGCTCATTCCCGATTTACTTTCTTGCCTAACAGGTAGCAAGCAGCAAGCATATCATGGGATGTTTTATGGGGTGATGAAAGAAGTGGTGGCCATTAATTGCAATAGGTAAAATGCAGTAGTAGCTCCTTCACTCCTCTATATTCGTGGACTCATGGAGACTGCTYGGTTTCTGTACATCAAAACAAATGGTAGCTTTAGGACTCTGCTGTGGAGAGCAGACCCACTCCATTGGTCAGGATRCTCTCTGGAGGTGGTGTTGAGTAGTYCTAGTCAAAAAAGATAAAGGGCCARATCTCAGTCTGAGTTATAGGGAGGAAGCATTTGCTAGARGRAACAAGAAGACCTGTGAGGAAGCATCACATCTGCTGTGTGTGCTCATTGTTCTTGTCACTAGCTGCAACAGGACAAAGTATGAAGAGAAAAATGCTATAAGCAGCCAGTAATAGAACATTTAAACATCTTTTTATTTTTACCAGTTCTTCAAAGATGCTTGATAAAGTCAGGATATATTTCCAAAAGACAGGCACCTTAAAAATYCAGATGGAGCCACGTGTCTGAACTTCCAGCTCATTAAAAGATGTGCACTTCTGCTGGGATTATTGTCTAGAGGTCATAGAATAGCAGAGAGCCAGAGAATTTACAGGTTGATTTTGTTGTTGACCTCAGTGCTAAAGTTTATGWTGGAGAGATTAAGAATCATTTATCAGAAGTTTGGAAATTTAGAAAAAAAACCCAGAGTCTGACAAGGAGGTCATAAAACTMAGCTCCAAAGGAAGGTTAATGGCTAATGTGATAAAGGGAAGAAATATGTGATAACAGAAAGAAAGCCTGATGTGATTCAAAGGCTAAAAAATGAAGCTGGATGAGTCCTGATTAGAAAAGTAGTGTTGGGATATTTAACAACTGGAATACACTCTCTGGCAAGAAGGGGAGAAGTAGGAGGCTCTTCTTAACTTCTAACTTTTACTTGTGATATGAATTCATGTATATAGGACATGCTATAAATCTAGGTTTGATGTAGAAACTATTGTGGGAGTTTCTTTGGCCTTTGTCACCTAGGAGAGCAAACTAGACTCCTGCAATCTTCTAAAACATGGAGCAGGCTGTCACCCCGGCAAAATCCACATCACCTCTGTTAGGCCGACTAGACATATCCCCATGGCTTTCAGACTGCCCTATAGGGCTAGGGGCTCTAGAGAAGGAGGGGTGTTTGTGCAAGAAAGGTGTTTTGTTTGTAAGAGACGTTACACAGACAATTACTAGAAAGAGAACCCTGGAAAGAATAGCAATATACTAGTAGATGCAGCTGTGATTACTTACTACAGATATTTTTCCTTTCTCCTTTTTCCTCCAGTATACATACAGAATCATTAAAAATTGCAATGCTCTCTCTCTCTCGCTCTTTTTTTTTTCTTTTTTTCTTTTTTCTTTTTTTCTTTTTTCTTTTTTTTTTCTTTTTTCTTTTCTTTTTCTTTTTTTCTTTTTTTTCTTTTTTTCTTTTCTTTCTTTTTCCCGGGAGTCTCTAGAGCAAACTTTTTACACACAGGGCTGCCAGAGATTTAACTAGATTCCTATGTATGGGCCATTAAACTTGGAGCTGATAAACAAGGTAAAAGCCTTTGAGAATTTAAAGAGTGTCTCAACTTTTATTGATAAWAGCTGATGTATAGTCCCAACTTGTGTAGTCCCTCTAAAAGCCTGCAGACAAAGAAGTATATTCACAGAATCACATGGAATCACAGAATGGTTGAGTTGGAAGGGACCTCTAGAGATCATCTAGTCCAACCGCCTGCTCCAGCAGGGACACCCAGAGCACGGGGCACAGGGCGACATCCAGGCGGGTTTGGAGACCTCCAGAGAAGGAGACTCCACAACCTCCCTGGGCAGCCTGTKCCAGGGCTCTGGCACCCTCACAGGAAAGAAGTTCTTCACATGGAGATGGAACTGCCTGTGTTAATCCTTCCTGTCTTCTATCACCCATTCCACCTTAACATAGAGTAGCCTACTACCCTATGCCATTGTTCCCCTACCTCAGAAAAAGGGAAAAATAATAATATGCCTGGCTCTAAATAGAAAAAAAAGATCCTGAACTTTCCATTTAGCATCTGGGACCATTACAATGTAAGGGTAGAAACAAACAGCGTTATTTAGTAGTACTATTTCACTGTTAATTGAAGACTGGAATAACTCCAGTGTTTGATAATACACTGTTATACACTATTATAATTATGTGTCCATCCTGCCTCCCATGTACAGCAATCTCAAATTTTGGCCAGAAAAAAAAAGACAGGAAAAACAGAAAAAATAAATAAAATGAACTGTTGGGTTATGCTCCCCCCTTGTGGCTGCACATTAATTTGCAATRAGACAGGAAGGGTTGTAAGAGGTTTGCTGTTTGTTTTGGGAAGGGGTTGAGTTGGCTTTGTCTCTAATTTATAATAAGCACCTCTTCCTTCCTCTTGGGTCTTTGTGTGGACAGGCCATCCTACTGTATTATCCAGTTCTTTGTAATCTGCCAGAAAATGAGTCTAAATGCTGGCAGTACTTTGGATTGCACTTGGGAATTTTGTACCATTGTGCTTTGTACTATATGATTTGTTTTAGTGTGGAGAAAAAAAAAAAAACCAGCTCAGATCCCTGACAATCTCTGACATAATGAGCTTAGAGTATCTCGTCAGGCTTTAAACTCTCCTTTGTGTTGCTAACCATTTGAGGAAGTGACAGACTCAGTTTTATCCCMATTAGCTGATCATCACTTTAAAGCTATGGTTGCAAGGGAGTCAGATAGGGCACTGCACTGGCACTTGAAGCAGGGATGAAGCACTTGGAGCTGCTAGCTGAAAAATAGCCCTGTCCTCTCTCTCTGAGATTCCCTCAAGTTGATTCATTTCTTCTGTGTCATAGGTTTAAAATATCAGACTATTAACATGAAAACACAGAACAAAAATATTCCTAGACCCTTTAGAGCTTAGAACTGTGCAAAGCAGAGGAAAGCAAAAGCCTTGAGTACTAAATGACTTGCACTGTCATTTGAACATTTTAATTGTAAATGATAAAGAACAAAATGACTTTTTCCTCCTCCTTTAAGAACTTAGGAAAATGAGGAAGATATAATTATCAATAGGATTTTTATGCTATTGGGAGGCTCTCTCTGCTGCTTTAGGAGTTTTATTAAAATATGTACTGTTGGGAAGTTACATTTTGTAAGAATTTCATTAGTTAGAATTTACTAATCTTCAAGTGGCTTGTATTTTCCTGATGAATGTTTTGTTGGACCATTTATCTGGTTTGTGTTTGTGAATGGAGAAAGGTAAAATTGTTCACATGTGCTTAGTGACCCAGATCTTGTGACTAAGGACTAAGCTCCATTCTTGGAGAATCAGCATGAGCTTTACGTTTACCCTGGTGTTTGCAGAGTCCATACTTATCTGTAGAAGCAGGCTTACCTCTGGATGAGAGCAAGTTTGCAAATTGTATAAAAGATAAAGCCAGGAGGAGACTCCTAAACAGATTCATGCGTTTATTTTCCCAGCGAGCATGAAAAATGCCCAATCTTTTCATTCAGAGCTCTGCAAGAATCTCCCTGGTTCCACCCAGGGTTTTACTGATCCATTTTTTCAGGTGAACTGACAAAGTCATTTTGTCAGGATAGCTCCTAATCCTCCCTCCTGATCAGAACTACTACATTCAGATTAGTCCTCTCAAAGATGCTCTTTCACAGTGATTCTGTTAAATCGTCTCCTCTGAAACAAAAGGCAGACACTGTTCACTGTAGAGACCCCTCCTGCAGTATGGATTGCGC